CGCCTTGGTAAAACTTATCGAAATAATGCGGCTCCTGTGGGAAAATGAATACTGAAATATTTTCGTCTTAGAATAAAAAAAATAAATCCGATTAGTAACCTCCAAATTTATCTTATGGCTTACGGCATGCCATTTCGCCAACTTGTCATACGCTGCTTTCACCTCTTCCTCGGTTAGTGGGCGATCTCGCACCACCTCATAACCGACGGGCACAAGGTCTTCGAAAACAATTACCTTCCTCGGACTCAAAGAGTAATAAAGACAGCTGCAAGCAGAAATTCGCAATCAAACCTAAACATTACCTAATGCATGCGATAAGCACTTACGCTGCTTTGAGTACAGTACTATCACCAATATCGCGCAAAACCTTCTCGAATCGCGGTATCACTTCTGTATACATAATAATCTCCTTTTCAAAAATATCTGTTTTGCCCAGCATATCTTTCTTGTGGCCCTCCGATTCCGGCATTGTCTTCAAGATCACAGATCTCGCCTTGTCTACGCCGTTCAGCTGGTATTGCAGCTGTGCGCGAAACATTATGCTGGCATAGTGGTCGCCCTTCATGCAGGCTGGAGATATTTTCGTACTTTTAATTTTTATTTGGCTATCCTTCTTTTCGCAGTTCGCCAAGACTTTCGCAAAAAGATCATCATTTATCCATTCCGGCACTTGTAGCTCGTCGGCATTGAACTTATGTGCGCTTTCATCGTTTGTGGGCATTTTTGATTAGCGGCTGGCGTGATATTTGCCGTAACTTAGTGTTCAATCGAAGAGCTCGCGACTATGACTGAACAAAATTTAATTGCTCATTTTAAGTGGCTATCACAAATGTCTCTTTATTTTCTATCGCTAGCCCATTTGACTGTGAAAAGCTCTTCATTTCTCAAACAGTGATAAGTCGTAGTCTTAGTTGTGTATCTACATACTTAAGTATACATACACATACATATGTAAGTATATAAAAATTAGAAAAGTGAGCTACGTAACGAAGCGCTATGCGGGCGTACGTATATATGAATGTATGTTCATAAAAGCACACATGTAGATGCAATCGTAAGCTAAGATTCTAACAAAACCAGTTTTTAGTGTTTATTGGAAACAGCCCGAACAAAGACTGAATCAATGTTTTAATAAAAAAAATTCATTAGCATTATTCTTCGCTAATCGCCTGGTTGAGTAGCCAGAGGTGCGTGCGACATCCAAAAAATTTGGGTATGCAAAAGAATGGGCAAAAAACGATCGTTGGTCTCAAACGACCAAGAATACTTTTTAAAAACGACGTATCTGCATTCGGCAGTTTAGATGCCTTGTTTTTGATCAGTATGCAAGCTACAGTTGCGGCTGAATTACTAGAAAAAGTTGCAATGTTTTTGCAGATACCCACATTTTACATCAGGATTTCTCGAAAATTGCTGTAGATGCTGCAAACTTAACTTTATTATTATTTATAATTTGAAAACTCTGTTTGCACGAATAAATTCGTATTTTAAAGACGAATTCAACGATGTGAATTACTCATTTTCGAAGAAAACTGCAAATACCCACTTTCAAATCAGTACGGCAATACACTGAACCAAAAATCCATCTCCGGATCAAAGAAAAACTTTCCTTACTTTACGGTCGACAATTCTGACGAATGAGTAAAAAATTCTCCCGAATGCGTAATTTTTCTTTGGAATGTGTAAAAACGTACACGAAGATATGGCACCGTGGATGTAATCTATCATTTTGAAGAAATGTTGGGCATGAAAAGAGGATAAAATTTCTTTAGTGCTGTTTCGTTTCCATGTTTCATCATTTTGATTGCTGTTTTTCTTCAATTAAGAAAAGTTTTTTTTTTTTTTGGTGTACATAGGTCGCTTTTATTTCATCAAATATAAATAAAAAAGTTTTGTTCATTTTTACAGAGAATTTAACTTAGTAAAATTTTGTTACACATTATATATGGATCACAAAACATTCGAAAAATTGGCTTATTAGAAATATGGCCAATATCTATGTATGTATTTGGAAAATATTTCAACAATGAAATATAGAGATAAAAC